GGCGCCAACTGTTTGAACCGAGTTTGGTGATAGCAAGTAAATGATCGACGGAAACTCGTCGGTGGGTTATTACAAAGGTGCGAACAGAAAAATGGAACGAAGGATGATTTATTGGTCAAAGAAATAGTGTTTACATAGGGGAATGTTGGTGCTCGGGAGCTACCAAAGTTGTACGGACCGATCTAAGAGCAACAAATGAGTAAAACCCTAGTTTAGCTGCCGCCTAGTAAGTCTATTTTCGGATCCCTTCCAAGTTCAACATCTCTTCGTTTTTATAGGTCTTTGTACGGAAAACCCTAATGGGATGTATCCCTCGTTCGGTGAGCCTTTAGACGAGCCGAATCCTCCTGCTCGGTACGGACGTTGACGTGTACTCGTCTTCGACTCCTTTGTCGCCTTGTGGTCGACTCCCTTCAGGCGTATTCGGACCGTGCGATGGGCCGTGGTCTCATTCGATGGGCCTTGAAGATGGGATTAAATCCATCTCCTACAAGCAACCTGCTTAGCTGAGTATCGTCAAGCTTTACATGTTACTGCGGCAACTCTTCTACTTGGCAGTGATTAGATACTGGCGTAGGGAGTGACACATCAGCCATCATATTTTTGTGACATTAATACATTTTTTTTTTAAATGAAGACGTTTAGTTTTGTATTACTTTTATTTGCTTGACACTGCTGTATGATCTATATTTTGTCAACTTAGTTTCACTAGAGATTTTGTCCGCGCTACGCGTGGATATACTTATAAATTTAGATTGTGATAAACACTGGTTCCATTTTCTGTATTCAATAACTATAACAAAAAAGTTGGTGTTTCTATCCATATAAGTATGGAGAGCCATACCGTTGAAGATCTAATATTAAAAAAGTTTCATGAAAACATCATATTTTCTGCCTTAAACTTGTAAAAGAATTTTGGTTTTCTTCTAGGCAACAATCTATATATTTTGTAACTGTAATATAGTATTATCTTTTGTTATAGTTACATAATAATGTATATCTATACTATTATTTGCAAAGTGATTTTTCGTAACAAAGCTCTCACGTTAAAAGTTAAAAGCGGTTAATATCTATACTATCATTAATGAAATTTATATGCAATTTATAACGGTTAATATCTATACTATCCTTAATGAAATTTATATGCAATTAATAATATAATTTAAAAAAAATTATAATAATATTAGATTAGTATGTTATTATCTTAGATAACTGAGAATAATTAAGAAAATAAACTTATCCAAAAAAAATTCAAGAATAAGATAATTCTTACCTATGTTGTTGTCATCTGAATCTAATCGTGTAACAACATGGTAATGCTTATATATCTTAATTTTATATATAATTGATTTTGGATTTTGAAATAATATTATTCTATTATAAAATTTATAATTAAGATATACAATGATTTATAATTAAATATTAATCAAAAAAATTAAATATTAAATATTAAAAATTGGAGCGGTTAAAATCAATGATACCCTTAATAAAATTCATATATTTATATAAATTAATTAACAATGAACTTTATCTTATTGATATAAATTTATATGTTATTATATTAGTTAATTGATTATAAACTAATAGGATAATTATCCACATTAATGCAAATTTTAAAAATAAGATATCTTATAGAATATTATATTTTTATCAGGAAATAATCTTTCTATTTTCTTAAAATAATTAAGCTATAAAATTATTTAAAATTAAATATTTAAAAAATATAAATATATTTTCAAAAATATTTTAATATGTTGATGTTTTTCAACACTATAATAAGCATATATATTTTGATGAAAATTTTTCATATAAAAAAGTTTAATGTGCGGGTCCAACACTTTGTTTTAATTAACTACCAATATAAATATATAAATTGTGTATAATTTTATTTATATTGTTTTTAGAATATATCATACCTTTTAAATATCGCATGGGTTATTTGATGTATATATACTATTATTAATATTTTTATCATAATCTTTAGTCATATGAAATAAACATGCACTGTATGTGTATAGTGTCTAATTGTGTTTTATATTTTAGCTAAATTCTTCATGTGTGATTGTTATCTTTTTATTAGGTAGATATGTATTTACTACAATATAATTCAAATTTTAAATATCGCAATAATTTTGGTAAAGTTTTAGTTAAATATAGATTTTCTTCTTTTAAGAATAAAGAATGAATTTTTTTTATCAATATTGACTAATATTTTGTATTGAGATATGAATAATAACTGCCATGAATAACCGTGAATAACTAAAATAGTAAAATTTTTATTTCTTAGACATGTACTTTATGCCATGTAACTTATCATATTACTTAGTAAAACAGTTCGCTTATAAAATTTTTTAAAAAATCAAATTTAATAATTTTTAAAAATCTAATTTTAGGGAAATTAAATTTAACCTGTAAGTTTGAAAGCCAAATAATTGTAATTTAAATACTTAATGGGGTGATTGCCATTGATGATGATGATGATGATGATGATGATGATGATGATGATGATGATGATGATGATGATGATGATGATGATGATGATGATGATGATGAGTGCTATACACAGTTTTAATTCTCTTTAGAGAAACAATCAAAGAAAAATTTACAAAGTAAATCTTATGTTATAACCCAAAATCATAGAAACAAATATATTGGCTCTAGAAACCATTTTTTTCTACAGCCTTATGTTTAATGATTTTAACTTTAAAATAAATATATAGCAATATAATCTAGAATTACCGCCACAAACCAACATCTGAAAATTTTAAAACCAAAAAAAATCAAAACTACAACCTCTATCAATCAAGCCTTATATATGACTGACAAAATGTATTCAATGATTCTTATTCTTTGAAATATCACTTTATTTTCACCCTATAAATTCCCCAAAAAATATATTTTTCCACCAAAGTTCAGATTTTTTTTTATGTCATCAAATTCAGGCTGTCATTATTTTAGAATTTACTTCTGTTTAAACTTATTTATTTGTATGTACAATTACTGATAGTCTGGTTTACTTTTATTTTCCAGTGAAAAGAAATAGACTGCTTTTATTGATTGTCGCTATAGCTTTAGTAAAGAACTATACAAAAAACTATACTAATAGAACTTAGTCCGCATCACTGCATACTCTATATACAGGGTAATTCTTAAATTGTAGGGATCACAGAGAATTGGTAAAAAAATACTAAACAAATTAGAAACCAGTGGTTATGTATATTAACTTTTTAATATCACAGAAAATTATATACAATTGAGAAAATTTGAAATTAAATTTTAATTTTGGGGATCACAAACAATTATATATCAATATTTTACTTTATGTCCATAACGACTCTTTCCATATATATGAATTTTCAGTTGAGGAACTTGCTTAAATTTGATTTATTTTCATTTTAAAAGTTTGATATTTAATTATTTGTTGATAGAGAGATCCGAGAGTTAAAACCATATAAGTCACTAAAAAGAATCCTCTATTGTTTAATATTTCTCCAAATCAATAGATAAATAGCGATTTTCCTTTCAGTACGACGATCGACTCGACTAAAATTAAAACATGCTTGAGCTCCTAAAATGTTAACATCATAATAATTTGCATATTATAGAGTTCATACATCACACCAGATGAACAGAGAATTCATTGATCTCTTGGCTAATCAGATTGATTCCGCATGGATTAATCAATGCAAATTTAACTGATAAATTTCCTTAAAGAGTTCAATGTTAACTTAAGAATTTGAAAAGGTAGATTCAATATTTAGGACTTAACCTAAATAACATGAAAGGTTTCATGTATCTTCTTAAGATATTGGTATACTCATCTCAATTAACTTTATAACCATAAATAAGGGTACTCATTTAATCTAACGTAATTCCCAATGATTGTAAGGATATCATCATACAACAAAGAGACTAATGGGATGAGGTAGCTCGCCTGGCAAAGGACCTTGGGGGCCAATTGTCATGCTCACGGGTTCGACATCAGGCGGTGGCGTACTGTCTCTTCCATGTCATCAAAGCGGTACTGGGCCCAGGCCCAGGTACAACCCTCCCGGGTGAAGCGGACCGCTGCCTGACCGGACCCAGGGAATGACCCGCGAAGCGGGGAACCCTGGATTTCAAAAAAAACAAAAAAAACAAAGAGACTTCACGATATCGTCTCCTCCATGGTTTCGACGATATATTTTGATACCAAATATATTGTATCAAAATATAAACTTTGCAAATTTTTTTCTTACACGATATCAAATTCCTAGCAACGGCTTCATACTCATCTTCTGCATCTTCATCCCATGGTGGTTTTTTTGGAGGACGTTGTTTCCATAACAAATCTGATAAAAAAATTTCAAACATCGGATAATCATCACACACATGCAATAATTACCGGAAACTAATATCAATAAAAATAATAGCCAATTTATATGAGAAGCACCCTCTAATATCAATAAAAATAATTATCACAAAAAGTATTCAGAAAAATGATTAAAATAAATTTTATTAAGAAGACAACAATACATATTTTTTATTTAAATAAAATTTTTATATTAAATCTATTACTTCGTTAAAGTTCTTTGGTATTTTAAATTTTTGCTATTTAATAAAATTTATTTTGGTTATTTTTATTCCTTGTGAACTATTTTGGTCATAAAAACTTTTTTAGATCCTTTTATGAGATTTGCCCATTTTATATTCTCTCAACCAAAATCAAAATATGTCATCCTTCAAATGCTTTGAAATTCAAAAGTCTTTTATTACTTTAACATGTGATTTATGATAAGACAAAGTTAAAAAACAAAAAAACAAAAAAACAAAAAAACAAAAAAACAAAAGAAAAGAGTGGTGTGTCCTTGTCTGAAATTATAAATCTTTGTTACTGGAAAGAAGCCGGAGTGTCTTGGTTTCAGTTGACAATAGCCATTGCAAGATACCTAGTGCCCATTCCAAAAGGAGTCTGTTCATCAGGTCCTTCCCAGAAGGTGCTTCACCATCTCCAACAGGACTCAGTATCCTGACCTCAAGGACTCAGCTTGCTCATCGCCGCAGTTCTTTATCAGCGCATCAACTCTGAAGTTTATTCCAAGCGAGCCAAAGAACTGAGACTGTGTCATAGGTCCATGGACTGTCACATTTTCTGCACAACATACACACATGTTTTCATTTGGTTTTCAGTAAATTCATAACAATGAGAGAACGAGCAGTGAGTATTGGAACGAACCTGAAGCCTCCTCAGCAGTGTTTTATCGAAGGAAATCAACATAAGCACTTAGACCCGCAGATCCGGGATCATCCAGTATGTTGACAAACTTGTGTTCTCTAATAGCCTTATATCATATTCCATAGTTTCAGGACACAAAAGACTTTATAAAGCATTGATCAGAGCCAATTTGTTAGGACACAAAGCTTAAAACTGTCTGAGATGATTCCATCCATCCCGTAATTGATTATAAGTGCTCCACCTCCAACAGAGCATATTCTCTTGCCCTTTTTTTGAATCAAATCCATTGATTTGGGACTGATCTTGACATGCTCTAGCTTCTCCCTTTCCTCAGGTGTAGCCCACGTGCAACGCTTCACGAGATATAAGGATGCAGGTTTAGGCTGAGGGGATAGAACAAAGCGGAAAAGGATAATTTTTATTTTATCCTTCGAGGGTTAGTAATTCGAGGGCCCTGAATGCAGCCAAATGAGCATAGTAAGCCGGTGGCACAATTGAGTCAGATCTTGTGCACCTAGCAAACCTGCGGTTTAAGACCCAATGTTTTCTTTGGTTAGACAACTTGTCTATTATTAAAATGTCAAAAGGAAAAATGTAAATGTTCTTAGTCCTTACGTGTAGCATAGGTTGTTGGTGAGCATTTGTAATGCATCAGCAGCGAACCCGTTCTCGTCCACAAGCACATGGTAAATTTGGTAATGTGCATCCCTGCTTGTCCCCTAAACCAAACAAAAAAGCAACTTACAGTTATTGATGATGACTGGTTAAGGTAACTATAAGTTAGAATCCGTTTTGTTAAAAGACAAAGTGAGAATCTAATAACTGTTAAGTAATGGTCTAGCAGCTGTAATAATAAAAGACATAGAAAACCTTTTACCCTTTCAAGTCAAGAGATGTTATATGTTCAAGCGGTGTCAACTTCTTCTAAGACGAACCTGTAACACTCAAAATAAGAAGATTTTCTGAATAGAAGTGCATGAAATTCTCAGGAATAAACATCAAGGAAATGAAGATAAGATAGACATACCACTTTCTGATGGTTCTGGCCTGTATCTAGCCGTCCTATACTTCTTCAAATGACTTTTGACATGATATATAGTCAAGCCTTCAACTTTCATAATATTTAGTACACCTTTAGGAGTAGCTCCTGAGTAACATAGTAACAATATGAGTCTAACCATAAGACAAACAAAGTTTATGGAAAGCAAAGGAGAAATTAAAAGCTCACTTTCACTGCCACCAAGACTGTTGACAGCTTCAACAAAAGCCTCATGAAGCTCATGCGTCCAACGGATACGTGCCTTGCCCGTTCCGTTATTACTGTTTGAAGATGTTGTGCTGACAGGTCGAAGGAGAAGGTTGCTGCTGAACAATCTGTGGTTGTGGTGGAACTTGCAGAGTTTTCTGGTCCTAAAACAGATGGTCAGTTCCAAGAGACAGGAGAAACACGGAATCAAAAAGGAGAATATATAGACTTGGAGCAAACCTTTGAGTGTGAATTAGAAGTTGTGTCAAGCAAGAGATCATTCCAGTTAGTTGATAGAAAGGGATCTTCGTAGTGATCAAGTGGTCAGCCCATTCATGCCAATCATTACGTTTCTGAATGTCATCAAACGCCGCCACCGTCCTCAATCTGGCTGGCCTGGTGGTGGTTTTAACACATATTCAGTGATTCAGAAGAATTTATAACTAACTTGGTCTAATTGAGTTAAATCAAGTGCCTCAATGTAAACGAGTTATAACTAATGATATGACTCCTAAATAAGATGAGTTTAAATGAACAAATTTTTTATTTTAACACCCATAAAATATGTTTAGTGTGTTTTAATTAAATTTCTTACAATGGAAAATATCCCGCACTTTTAAAGTGCAGATCAAAATCTAATTCTTATATTATAATTACATGATTTTTTTTAACCTGACGTGGCATAGCTAGATTTTGAGGATATTTAACTTTTAATATTGTAAGATTTTTTCATATCTAATATGAGATAATTGTTGAAGTTTTATAATCAAAGCTCCCAAAGTATACCAATAATCTACTATTAATCTTTTCTTCAAACGAAAAATTATTTAAGACTCCTAAATTTACATTTAAATTTGTTACAAACATATTTATTTTAATTTTATACTATATTTAAAATAATAAGTATTTGATATTTTTTGTTTTTTTTTAAATATATATATATATATATATATATATATATATATATATATAATTTGATTATTAATTAAAAATTCTAAAATATGCAAACAATTAGTTTTTGGAAGAAAAAAAACATTGTATTGCGCCGTTGGTCTATTTATGGTAGCGCATTTTGTGTTTCTCTTCTACTAACTTTTTGAATTGAATTTCTAAACCTAATATGTTTAAGGGAAGGTAAGAAAACTCATATATGCTTATTGATTTTATCTTATATAATATATGCATTTCTTCAGTCCAGACTTGCATTCCCACACAGCTACTGTTGAGGTAAAAAACGGTCACAACGAAGTTTACATCCAAATATCGGACAAAAGTCGAAAACTGGTCACTACGTAACGACCGAGTACGTACACGCTCGGTCGCTATGTAGCGATCAAGATAGAGCCAAGCTCGGTCGCTACATAGTGACCGAGCACGTACACGCTCGGTTGCTACGTAGCGACCGAGCTCGAGCCAATGCTCGGTCGCTACGTAGCGATCGAGCACGTACATACTCAGTCGCTACGTAGCAACGAAGCTCAAGCTAAACCTCGGTCGCTACGTAGCGACCGAGCATGTACACGCTTGGTAGCTACGTAGCAACTGAGCTCAAGCCAAAGCTCAGTCGCTACGTAGCGACTGAGCACGTACACACTCGGTCGCTACGTAGCGACTGAGCACATACACGCTCGGTCACTACGTAGCGGCCAAGCTCATGCTAAAGTTCGGTCGCTACGTAGCGACCAAGCACGTACGCGCTCAATCGCTACGTAGCGACCGAACTATCCAAAATCCACACATCCTTGTCTACTCTTTGATGCAATCTCCCGAAGACCACAATCGAACTGCCACTATGTCCTTATCGATCGGAGTTATCATTCGGACTTTACGATAAAAACCGCGAAAAGCTAGAAACACTCATTTGGTTCGTACGCTACCATTTCACAACATCCCGCCACTTTAACCACTCAATTAGACCCAATAGTTACAAGAGACAAGAACAAACCCTTGTAAGCCATTTTCAAATTGTTTATTATATTTTGTTGTATGGAGAAGTGATGAATGAAATGTTACCATGTATCAGTATGCCATCTATTTAAAGAAAACAAGACAGAGGAAATGAGAAAAGCCAAATAACCCTAGGCCAATAGAAATAGAGGAAAAATTATATCTTTTTTTTTTCTTTTTAATCAAAGAAAATTTTATATCAAAATGAAAAAAAGGGAAATCGCATCCTATAGTATAGAAAAAAATTATAATTCATTATCTAACTAATTAACCTAGTTTACATAGATATATCATGTATTTTATATAATAATACACTAATATCCTTGTAAGTCACTGATGAAACCTGCTGCCAAACTAATTTTAAATAAATAATACGTGAATGTAAAAGGTAATATGTAACTCTTTATTATTGACACACTGTTCTAAAACTATTTTTATTTGATAATTTTTGGGAAAATGAATATGTTCCAACTCAGATTTAAAAGATCCCTCAACACCACCGTCTACATACCCAGTGAAGTACAATGGAGGAGAAAACTACTTTCGAAAGCTACGGCATTAAGGAAGGGGGAAGCTTCTCAGACTTTGAAATAAACAGTCCCAAAGAAGACGGAACAAGAGAGGCGGTGAAGTGGATTAACGCTTGCAGATTCAAGTTCCCAAAACCGTATTGCATAAAAGTATTTCAATCATGTAAGTTGTGACTATTCTGTTATTGTTTCTTAATCTGAAGTAATTCTTTGTTGGAGTCAGTATATGGAAACGCTGTGACCCAAAAATTTGAAGTTTTGTGTTTGGACTCCACTCCTTTTTTTGAAGCTTTGTGTTTGGACTCCACTCCATTGTACATTCTATTCCACTTTCAAAGTATTTGTTACCTGAATACAAATAGAATAGTTTTGAAAAATCTGAATCTGAAGTATTTTTTGTTTCTTTCATTTTATGATATTTTCAAGTCATATGTGGTACCGGAGTAACATGGAATAAATGCGAACAATCTGATTGTTCGTATTGTTGTTTCTTTGCGTAAGATCTAATGAGCTGAATAGAATACCAACCAACGAAATTAAATAGAACAGTTTGTTGGTTTTTCTTCTCATTTTTTTTCTTATTGTTTTTGTTTGTCTATACATACCATTACATCTTTTATGGTTTTCATTCTACATTTTTGTTATACTATACATTTTATTTCACATTTAATTTGTTATATGGTTCCTAACAATTGTTTTGTGTTTTCCAGGTTACAAATGGATGATTTAGACTGTCAAGTATATTGTTCGAAACTGGATTCAAACCATTTCGTGAATGTATTCTCATTTGTATGTAATGGTGAAATGTGTATATAAATGGAATAGACCGTGTGCACGTAAAATGGAAAAATCATACATGTAAAATGGAATGTAAGATATTTGCTATTTTTTTTATTCTATTCTAATTGTAGAACATACAATAGAAATATGATTTTACAGCGCATTCGCATAAGTTATGTTTTCACTACAAGAAAACGTTTCCGTAACGACGACACTTTACGGCGAAAAATATTCGTCATAAACTTACGTGTACATTACGTGGAGTTTACGACGAATATTGAGTTAGTCGTAAAGACACGTAAAATTACGTGGAATAGATTTCATCGTAACACAGAAGTAAAATTACGACGAGAGAACAAGGAAAGAGAAATTTCGTCGTAACTTACTTGTAATGTTACGTAATGTTTACGACGAATCCTGTTAAAGTTACTTTTCGAGAAAAAAATTATGGAGTGAGCTTCACCTAACTATATTCCACCCCAAGTACTTGGTAATAATGATAACATGAGAATCTGACCTGCTTTTATAACCTTTGTCACATAACGTTCTTCTAGCGGGGATAGATACTTCTGCAATAACCATGACATGGGCAATGACAGAGCTCGCTAGGAACCCACGTGTGATGAATAATGTTCAATCTGAAATCAGAAACCATATGGGTAACAAGTCAACGATCACCTTAGACGACACAGATCACTTCAAGTACCTCAAAATGGTGATCAAAGAAACGTGGAGGCTACATCCTACAACACCAATACTACTCCCAAGAGAAGTAATGTCTGAATTTGAAATCAACGGTTACACAATCCCAGTCAACACACGGATTCATGTGAATGTCTGGGCTATTCGGCGTGATCCTGATACTTGGAAGGACCCTGAAGTATTTCTCCCGGAGAGGTTTATTGATAATGACATTGATGCAAAAGGACAGCACTTTGAGTTATAACCGTTTAGGGGTGGAAGGAGAATGTGCCCTGCAGTTTACATGGAGACAACAATGGTGGAGTTTGGTCTGGCTAATATGTTGTATTGTTTTGACTGGGAGTTACCAGAAGGCATGACGGTCAAAGATATCGACATAGAAGAAGCTCCGGGGCTCACTGTAAACAAGAAAAATGAGCTTATACTCGTGCCTGTGAAGTATTAGATCATTAGTCCTTTTAAACTAAGTTCCTCTGTTTATGTGTGAAAAAAGAAAAGAGTTCTTCTGTTTTTGTGCGAAAAGAAAATAAAACTGATGTTCCTCACATTTCTTTCCTTAGCCAACTAAGAGTTTGGAGAAAAGTCTCGTAGATTTATGTAGGGGACTATAGATCAGGATGATATTTATAATATAATCGAATAATAAATACTAGTATTTAATTATTCATTATAATTACCAAAGTTACATAAAATAATCACTTATGCAAAGTAAATGATATTTTTAAATAGTAACTCTAAATTAATAGAATATATTTTTAAATAGGAATTCTAAAATGATATTTTTAAAAGAAAAAAAAAACTGATAACAAAATTTAATGCTTAGCCTAGAACATTGGCTGAAACAAGATATATAAGTCAAAATTACATCATGTTTGAATTTTAGGTAAAACCGAAGCGAAAATAAGGAAAACCAATTTTTTATCTCGTATTGAATCAGCATTCAGTAAAATGTGTATTACTTTTTTAATCTAATTAATAGATCGACTTAAACTGGTAGTATTACTTTTAATCTAATTGATAGATGGACTTTAAACCGGTAGTATTTGTAGGAATCTTATTCCCCGGATAATACACCTGAGAGTCAGGGACAACCAAGGATGAGGACGGTGCGGAAGAAGATGGTCCAGTAGAACCGACGCAATCGCCAAAAAACTCAGTAACGTTGGGACGAATGAACTATGTAACGTTACGAACCAGGCCCGCGATTTTTTACGTCGACATTACGTGGCCTGGTTTACGACGAAAGTACCAGGCCCGCGTTTTTTACGTCGACATTACGTAGCCTGGTTTACATCGACATTAGGTGGCTTCGTTTACGAAAA